AATACACAAGGCCAAAAACTGTGATGAAATGTATTGACAATTTTGTCAAAAAATAAAAATGAGATGAAAATATTCTGGAGCGACCAGATCCAATCAGAACTAATTAACTTGTGTAAAAAGACCAGATGCACACATTGAAAATGGTACCACTAGCTCACATGCTCACCGTTTTTTCATAAAAATGCAGCAAAATGTCAACGTTTGGGTGGAAGAGAAGATTAGACATACACATTTCACATTTGATGCCAGTAAAAGCATCACAAACTTTCAGACTTCACATTTTAGTCAACTAAATCAACTTTATATTTAGCCTACTACAGTCGTATATTTCATCGACTAAAACGGAAAAAATCTCGATGTCTAAGTTACGACTAAAACAAAAGACTATAGTTAAAACTAAATCAAAATTTGCAGTCAAAATTAACACTGCTCTGCGCACGTGTTAACAGCTGGATCACATTTCAACTTACAGTTAACTGTTAAATAGCATAACAAAAACTGCATTATGTTTTCATGAGAAATTACAAAGCTTAAAGTAGCAAAAGGAAACATTTCACTGTGACTTCAGGGCACTTTTGGAGAGCACTGTAGAGATATATGTAAGGCAGGTACTGGCTTTAGACTGGTGCTTTGGTATATTTAGAGATGATGGTGATCATCATCTCCTATGAAGTTGAATTATTATTAATTTTAGATTTCATAGGGTGAATAAATAAAAGGCTTTAGCTTTAGATGACTCTTTTTGGTTAAGAGATTTGAGGGATTACTCCTCTTACTGCGGTGACCTTTCAATTAATGGTCCTTGACAGCTGAGTATTTTAACTTGTCGCTCAAATTTGAACCTTGAATAGTATTTATGCACAATCTGTTTAAAATTAAGTGCTTCCATATTTAATTTTCCTGCCTTTCTTGCTAATCCCACCTGAGATATAATTCAGTTTCTTATTAACGTTGCTCATTAGTTTCATTAAAAATAACAACCTATAATAATCCAATTTACCTCTGGCAGTTTTATAAATTGCAGTATGGTCTTAAATACAGACACAAAAACATATTCACACTCTTTCAGTATGTGTGAGTTCAGGTGGATGACAAACACACAGATGGACTGTGTGATACAGGAAACAACATACTCGCGCAAGTGTGTCCGAAGAAAAACATAAAAAGACAAAAACAGCGAACAGTTATTGTGCACTAGTACCATGTATGGCTTTGCATTCCAGTTTATCTCCATAAAGTCAAAACGCTTGTCTAATTATCAATAAATCTCACACGCAATTTGAGAACAGAACGACAATCTTAACATATTCATATTATTAACATTCAGTGTCATGAGTACGCATTTTAAGATCCATCCAAAATATTCTAATCAGCAAAAAACACCCCAAACTATTTCTGCCTGATATGGCATCATATTATTATTCCCGTTAAAAATAACATGGAAACAGATCCTGAAGAGCAAACATCAAACATGTAAACTGTCTCCTGCAAGTGAATATACAAGTATGGCAGTGTAATTAATGTTTTGCTTTCTACAACATTAGAAACTTAATGATAAAACGATGAACTACAAGGTCCACTAGATTCCCAGACCTAATAATTTGTCGCTAATGTTAAATAAACATTGCACCTCATTGCTATCTCCGACAAGTTAATGATTGGTTACAATATGTGGCATGGCTTCAATAAGCTTATGTAGTGTTACAATATTTATTCCCATCCAGAGTTTTATAAATTTTTTGTCAAGATCTAGCTGTTGGTGGGAGAGCTGGACCACGGCACAATCCCAGAGATTCTCACTGGGATTAAAGTCTGGACTCTGTGCTGGCTAATCTGTGTGAAAACGATGTCTCCTACTCCCTGGATCACCATTTCACAGTTTGAGCCTTATGACTCCTGGCATCGTGATGCTCCCACAGGTTGGTACTGTAGGCACTAACAATGACGGCTCCATCACTTCATCCAGCTCTTTCCTTTCCCTGATCATCAGTCAGGAACAGAATAAATCTGGACCTATCAGACCAGATGACCATTTTCCATTGCTCTAAAGTCCAGACTTTATGCTATTTAACAACTGAACCTTTTTTATGACTAGCATAATTGATAAGTGGTTTTCTTAAGGCTAAAGTGTTTAGTCCCAATCCCTTGAAATCCCCTCACAACGCGCTGTAGAACTGAGTTCCGAGTTCTACTGTTTTTCTACTGATTTT